TGCTGTGGCTGATGGAGCTCCCTCTGGAGAAGGGGCTTCAGGCTGGTGGTTTTGGTGCTCTTGCCCTGCTTGATGTCCTCCTATGCATGAGGTCTGGCCCTTGCCACAGGAGAAAGCCTGGGAGCCTCTTGCAGGGCAGTACAAGAGCCTGTGCTGGTCTAAGCCCCGCGTGTTGCAGCTCCTGCATCCTGTTTTGGGCATGGCTTCTTCTCGCGCAGGGCTCACGTGTCTCCTCCCCGCCGTGTGCCTGGATGCAAGGATGCCGGGAGCATCTATACAAGCACACAAAGGCAGGATCTCTTTGTGTAGGAAGGTGCGTGCTGTACGGAGACGCTACTTCAGATGAACCTCTGAAAGTGGCAGATGGAACCGTGGATTTAATTTATTATAGCTTTGATCTGCTCTGAAATATTGAGCAGCAAAACCCCGGCTGGGCTCCCTCCCACCGCCGCAGCCGGCTGCTTGAAATTCAGCCGGGAGGCTGGCCATTTCCCTCGGGTCTCCTTGGGTTCTGCGGGGTGTTAGCGGGACGGCGTGTTTTCCCTGGAGAAGAAGGTCCCTGGCTCTTCACCCCTCGTGAGGTCTCAGCTAACTTGCCAGTCTCTGGTGGGCACCACAGGAAGATGCAGGAGACACACACGAGTGATGCTTTCCTGACTCCAATCAACGCAGCCCTGACATCTTCCATCTACCTTGTGCCGTGCTCTCTTTTGTTTCAACTTGTGGGGGTGTTTTATTTTTTTTATTTTTTTTTTCTGGGCATTAAACCTATTTGATCTCCTCCAGCACGGAGCTTGTTTTCTCTATGCAAATGACATTCACTGATGCCCAAGCTGTTTTCCCTGCATTTGGGCTCTCTCCCAGCCTGCAGCGGAGCTAATAATTATGTCTCTCCATGTTGGGCTTCCTTTAACAGCAAGTAACAAATTTTCCTTGGCACCAAGGAGGAACTGCAAGCTATTGTTCTTCTGTCCAGGCAAGCGTTTCTCTTGCTGTTACTGATATACGAGTGTAACTCTGCTGGTGAGGACTAGGTTCAGTTTTATTACTGTTTCTGGCTGTTGATTTTTCACTAGTAGCTTTAAACATGAAAAAAAAAATTCTTTAATAAGGTGTTTGTCTTGAATGTAAATTATCAATCACTCTTCAAACCTGCTAAGGAAAAAGCTGGCTAATTATTTCCCAAGGGTTGTTAAGGGGGTTTTGTTGCAATTTTTTATGGATTTTGAGGGGTTTGCTTGGAAAATCAAATTCCTGGTTTTTCTATTTTATTTCCAGCTGAGAATTCTGCATTGCTGGTTGTGCAATACGCACTGGTCTTAGTTGAAAAATATTTGGATGTGAGATTTCTGCTGGCTTCAGCTACTGTGAAAATGTTATATATCGGTGACCATGATATGCCTTACATAGTTCTAACCTGACGATCAGAAAGGGCATTTATATGGAAATCCAGGTTAGTCCTGGAAATATATTCAGCATCTGGTTCCTTTTCTGTGACGGCAGAGTAGTCCAGGGCCACATTTTCAGAAGTAATTGGCTTCCTAAATGTTACAGGGGAGCCTAGAGTAAAGCTTTCCCGTGGCTGAAAATCCCCCTCTGCATCCCTAAGTACCTGATGCCTTTGAAATTCTCATCTCTAGGATCCAGCAATTTTAAGGCAAATAAAAGGAAGATTTTTTGTGTGTATATAGGTGTATTATGTGTTTATATAGACATTTCGCTGTAGTATGCGTGTATATAAGCATCCACGGGATGTTGTAAAAGTGTGGGGCTGAGAGCAATTCCTGGATAATGTACAATTTATGGGTAAGAATAAGGTGTCTTGATGCAACCTTCAGTCCAGGATATTCCTAAATTGCTGTTTTTTCTGACGCGGTCGGCTATTCTGGGAAAGACCACCCCATACTTGCTCTCCTCTTACACTCCTTGGTGAGACATCTGCTATTAGCAGCTGTGGGAGACTATCTGGGGGTCAGTGTCTGTAGGCTGGCACTTGTGCATCCCGTACAAAGCAGTGGCTTACAAATGGGGAAAATTCCTCCTAGGAACCTTTTACTCTGGTCTTTCCAGTTCTCTGGGCAGGCGGGTGTGAGAAGACAACTTGCTCATGGCAGATCTCATGACATAGATTTTGTGAACTCCTGGTGTGCCGAGAAGATCCCGGTTTCATAATTATATTCAGCTCACCAATAATTCTCCTTGTTTCCCACTGTGAAAGCTTTCGTTTGCCGCATGGTATTGCCGTGCTCCGCCAAGCCCCACTGCATTTTGAGCCGTACCTCCCGGAAGATCTGCTAGCACCGTGTGAGCCCCTGGGGTGAAGACCACTCCACCAGTGAACGCAAGATACTATCTAAGCACCGTATCGCTTCTATAAGGGAGAAAAGTTTAGATAATGGAATAATTTTAAATCTTTTTATGTTTGGATTTATTCTTTTTTCTAAAAAGATCCAGTGGGAAGTTTTTATATAATACTTTATTTACATTCCCCTTGTGAGGCTGTTGCAAGTACGAAGCTCTTTGATATATTTCTGAGAGCAATTCATTAGATAAAAGACTTCTGGTATGGTATGTATTTAGAGGGCCAGCGGAGCTCTTGGTACATGAAAGGCCTGGCAGCAGCTCCATTCCAGGCTCCCCTTATGGAAAGGGAATGAACAAAAACCAGAGCGACTCTGCGGGTTTGTCCCATTTCTCCAGGCGGTGGGAGAGGGAGAGCTGAAAATCCTGCTTCCTGGCCAAGTCCATCTTTTCCCCGACGGTGGCTGGCTGTCACCGATCATCACCAAGCAAAAGCCTGTGTTGTTGGCAGTAAATGGGATTGGAATTTATTTTACTGCTTATTTGTATGTGTGTCCATATCCCACCAGGTGCAGCAGAGACTTGTTACATGGTTGGGGACCTCAGAGGCTTCTCCAATTGATAGTCATGTTGCCTTCCTACTGAGCAGTGAAGGAGCAGGCAGGGTGTGTGGATCACATCTGGATTATCCTACACCCTGCCAGTAGCACCCTTCTGCTGTCCTCACCAAGGAGCTGGTGGTGGAGTGGATGACTTGGTTTGCTTTCCCATTAAGCCAGTAGAAACAGCAGCATGCTTGTGGCAGGCGAGGTGCTGGGTTTCCACTCTTGGGTGTTGGCTGGAGAGGACTAACTGGCTGGGGTCAAGAGCATCCCAAGGGCTGTGCTGACAAGTTAAGAGCATAAGATGTTGAGTGTCCTGTGCTGTTTGGTAGCATGGAGATGTAGAGGGCTTTGTAGGGATTGTGAACTTGTCACCGAGCCTGGCACGTCCTGCCAAGGGATGTCTGAACCCCAGCCCGAGTCTTGCTGAAAAGGAAAGCAATGAGAACGTGCAAAAAATCAAAGCTAATACCACATGAAACTTTATAGTCCATGTTTCCATGACTCAAAAAAAGCACAGTGCTGTGCTAGTGCCAAAATGTTCCCAGGCAGGAGATGCTTCACATCTTGTGAGCTCAGACTGTAGGCAGAGGGCATCTGACCTGCAGAGCAGATCCACTCAAACCTTTCAGGTCCTTCTTTCATGTGTCTCCCCTGAATCTCAGAACCCTCTCTGATGATGAGCGCTTGGCTTCCAACCATATGAAGTCATGGCTGGAAAAGCTATGAGGTTGCCAAAGCAGAGGCAATAGTACAACCCTCTTCCAGGTTGTCCTGTAGCACCTTCAGGATGGGGCGATGTGTGTAGGTTGTCTCTTGGGGTACAGCAGGTTTCAATGCACAGTGAAACTTAATTTTATAGAAAGTGCAAAAACTGAAGTAGCAGCGCAGATTTCTCTTGCTCTTGCTATTTCGTCAAGCAGCGCAGAGATGGTTTTTTGAAGGCATCAGTGCTGCTTCACCACCTGGGGTCAAACACGAGGAAATCCTCCCCGATGGATGCTGCAGAGGCAGGTGGCAGGGGATCACAGTCTTGGGCAGTGGCCACGTCGCTACGTCCAGAGTTGGACTGAGGCTGCTGCGACCAGCACCACCATCATGTAAGCTTCTCAAGTCAGCGGTGAAGTTGTCCGTGTGCCACCTTAAACCCACTGACATCAGCAGGCAGCATGTAATGCCCCAAATCCTTGGCTAACCAGATCAGCACTGGAGAGTGGGTGGGCGCTGCTTGTGAAGAGGCTGGCAGGGTCTCCAGACTGACGGTGTAATT